CGCCGCGCGCCGCGCCCCTCGCGCGCTGCGTGCCCGCGCCGACACATGCCGCACCCGGGCGGAAAGAGCGCTCGCCCCGCCGGAAACGGGGAGCGCTCCTCCCCTCGCACCATAGAGAGGAGCGGCTGGAAGGGCCGCAGCCGCTCTGTCCCTGCCGTCGGTGGTGCGGGCGGACCGACGGAGAGGCGAGCAGCGGCGCGAAACGGGCGCTTGCCTCCCCGGTAGGCGGCGGGGCTGAAGCCGGGCGGGAGCGGCGGAAAGCTCTCCCGGCGCCACCGCTTGGGTCTTAACGCTGACACCTGGGGGTAACGATGGCGCTTGGCCGGTACCGGCGCGGACAGCCCGCGCTCACAGGCGGCGGGGTCTCGACGGGCAGCGTCGGTAAGCGCCTAAACCGGCGTCAGCGTTGGAGCTCGACACGGCCTGGGGAAGCAGGAATTCCCGACTTCACCACCACGACACGACGGAGGGGCCAGGCTTTAAGTTCATTTACAAGCAAGCCCCCCTGACGCGGGAGGTGGCGGCGCGGGCAGTTACCGCCAGAGCGGGCCGGGCCCGCGCGAGGCCCCTCACCACAGCCGGGTCGCGACACCGAGGCCGACGGCCGACCGTTAGAGGCGGGTTTTCCAACTGAAAACGGCTGGACGGCAACTTAGAGGGGAGAGGGGGAAAAAAAAAAAAAAAATCCAGACAACTTACTGGCGGTTAAAGAGGGCGAGTATCCGCCCTAAACCAGAATTCGACCTCGGGAAGCAACTGGGCATTGGCTGGAGCGGAGGCGCAGGGCGTTAGAGCAAGATTTCTGGGTATCTTCATCCTCTCTGTGTGGGCTAGGTCTATATTAAAGCACAACACTGGTAGCTATAGCATTCTTTAAATGCTCTAAATAAAAATGTGTTACGGACACTTCGGTCTCTGAGCTAGTAGCTGCTTTTCCTCTCAAAACACTGTGCATACACACACACACACACAAATAACTGCTGTTGAGGAAATCATTAATGGCATTTATTTCAAAGGCCACGGTTTGGGTTTGTTTGTTTGTTTGTTTTTTAAATACACATCAGCTGACTGTATTAAAGGATGTAGCAGCTTGGAGATCATATAATTCAAAAGGAATTAAACATTAGATGCGTAAAAGCCTTCAGTAACTTTTACAACCTGGATGGAAGCATGCATTTTCTGTGTAGTTCTTCAGTAATGTTCAATCTGCTCAAAATGTGTTTGTTTGTTGTTTTTTTTTTAATTCAGTTGAATATGAATGTTTACTTCTCCAATTCACATAACTAGTTACAGTGACATATGACATTATTTGAACTTAGCCCTCTTAACCAGCTGTACATAGTTGCTTATTGTCTACACAAGCTGCTACTGCAATAATTATCTTCCTCCCAGCAACTCTCACTCCCAGAAGTCACATCAAACAGATTTTTGTAGAATTTACTAATTAATTTAATTTCTCCCTGGAGAAGATATTCCAATTTAAGGAAAGTAAACCATATATACCACATTAAAACTTTCTTTAGATACAGTCCACACCTAAAGAGTCTAACAACCAGCTTTTAATCCTTTCTACATAATTACAAGTTAGGGGTTTGGCTTTTTTCCTTTAGTGGAGTATAGGATACCGTTTTGATCTAGTTTTAAGGCTTAACCAGCAAGAAAAAAACCTCCTACATAATCACGCTCCTGTAACCAGAGTTTCGTTCCTTGCTGTGTTTTTAAAGAGAGTGCATAGGACTGTCCTTTAAATGAATTCTAGTTTCAGATGCAAAAGTCTGTGTTCACACAACAGCAAGCAGTCCTAAGCATGTACAAGTGCTTCTTTCCAATCAACAATATAAACATTCTTTGAATGGACTTTGTGCTGCATTGAGCTACAACTGTTAAGGATACCAGGGACTAAAATAGTGTTAAATATTTGTTAATGTTTAACTCCTAATAATTCAGTTGCCAGTTTCTATTTAGTATTAGCCTTCCTTATTTAGAAGGCAAATAGACTGCACAAAACTGGTTTATATTTTCAAAAAAGAAAGGATCATAGCTTACAATAGTTATTGTTGCTCCACAGCAAGTACTTTTTATCTCATTGTTTAGACACACCATACTAGTAACATTGTAGCATTCTGTGATTAACATCCTCCTTTACTGATGTCAGCTCCTATATTTAAAACATACATACTGTTCATAATTGTAAACATTTGAATCCCCCGCAATTATTGAGTGAAGTTGCAACAGCCAACAACATTCTGGCTACCATCTTATGCAACAATCATTAAGTATTGATGCTGGATTTAAAATTAATTACATGGTAATCTACAGTGAATGAAAAGCCCTGCTCAATTCACTCCGGTAATTATGATTGCAATACTAGAGCAGAAAAATTTTTTTTCACCAGACTAAGTATGTGAATGGCTACACACAAAAGTTTTGGCTTAATTTATAGCTGCTACTAATCATTCCACTTATTAAACATTACATCTCATAATTCAGTTTACAAATGAAACTACAGGGAATCAGAAAAAGCAGTTATCTCTGTTCAGAAAAAATGTAACAAAAAATTATTGTGAATGACACTGAAATAGTGATCTATAGGTTTTAAGGGAGGAGTTTGTTGGTTTTTTTTACATCAGACCATTGTAACAACACAGTGGTGTCACACTGCATTGACTAAAAGGAGGAAACAATTGTATACACCTCCTAAAAACTGCAGTTAGTAAAGAAGAAATCACATTACAGACCTTCAAGTTTAGTGTTCATCTAACTTTGTTGAAAAACTAAGAGCATTTGGAAAATGTTTAAAAATTAGAATATGCATAGAAAAGTAAGAAGTTACTCCAGTAATTTACAAGAGAACATTGAAAGACATTTCAAGAGTTCACAAGGAAGTACAGCCACAGTATTCTTAGTAAACATTTCCTTAAATCCACCTCTAGTATTTGATGAGGTGTGGCATAAAAACGATTGTACATTAAAATTTTAAGACTTACCCATATTTGCTAATGGTGGGCTCAAACTCTGTGTTAGTTCAAAACCAGATGAACTCATGAGGAATTTCCCCACAAAAGAATTTTAGTTATCATTAATATTAATCTTTTCCCAGATGCTAGTTATCAGTTACATCTAAATGTAAAATTGTTAATATTTTAAAAAGCATTGGAGTATTTGCTAATCAACAGGGTGGATTTTTTTGGTGGTTCCCCTCCCCAAACGCTTCAGCATTAGGAAAATAATTCCCAACAGCACTGGATTAAAAACGCTGCTTCTAAGAGTCATCATATTACATCATTTGCAACTATGAAGAATGTACTGGTATGCCAACATCACTATTTTTACATACCTACTTATAAAATCTCAAATTCCAGGTTATTCCAAAATAATGATGAAACTTTACAAGAGTCACTGTAAATTGTGTATTTACACTATAAACAACTTCTACTACATCTGCAACTTTGCATCAATAGTTTAACATAGATATTTTAAAAGCACCCTTACAAAATTATTGCACTGGCATCATAAAAATTCACAGTAAGTTTAACTTCCAGACCTCGGTAAAACAGTGCAAGAGCTTTTCATTGTGCAAGAGCTTTTTATCCAAACATTCCCAGGTTATTAAAAATAAAAAAATCCTATATTACATGCTGCAGTGATTTTTCTGTGAATCAGGGTTGGAAGATCTAATTTATATTTTGAAATGGTGAAAAATACCCACAAAAGAACTATCCAGTCCAACACTGAAATAGGTGCATTTGGCAGAGATATGGCTCTATATGTCCATTTTATAGAGAGTCCTTAATGGTTGCAGAGGTTATTCCACAATGAGAGAATCCTATTGCATTGAGTAGGGAATTCTCCTTCCATAATTTGCAGCACTTCCACCACTTTTAGAGGCAGTAACTTCAACAGTTGTGTCTTCAACAGATCCTGAAGATAATACATTAAGAAAAGGTTATTCCAAAGTAGCCTTACAACAAATAGTCATATAAAACTCTAAACTGTTATTTGAAGTCACTCTTAAAAAATATTTTTCCTCATGTTTTAACAGCCAACTGGGACTCAAATAAAATACCCATGAAGTCAACAGACCATCTCCAATGGTGACTGAGTGTGGATGTCTCAATAAAGGCATAAGAATATAGCATGCAAGTAATATCTCCTCAGGATATTACCACAGCTGCCACTTACTGCCCCAAGTCTTTTTGAGCCAAATACATTATCTGTGCATCTCTTCTGTTTCCTCCTCTGGCTTTTTGAATCAGTACATTTTTATCTGTCACATTTCCCTATGCCAAATAATCCAACACTTCAGTTACATAGCATGTGACAACTCATTGGTCCCTGCTTTGTCTTGGGAGAGGCATTCCCTATATACCTTTTCCATACCACTTATGACTGTATAGATGTCTAGAATATTTTATACTCTGCATCTCTTTTCAGGCTCAAGGATCCTAATCTACTTGTTATTCCTTTAATATAATTCATTCCATATCTTGATAATTCTCACTCTTCTCACTCACTTCTACTATATAATTTTTAAGATAGGAAATCAGAAGCATGCACTGTTCCATTAATAACTTCAGAAAGTTATTAATGGCAAGAACCAGAGAATTATCTAAGTGATAAAAATGCATAAATAGCTTCTGTAAAGAAACTTCCTTATTAAGGCAACAGTTAATTTTCCAAACACTTGCACTTTTTTTTTTTTTAATATTAGGTGAAATTTGAAGTTAATGGCTCAGGAAGCTCTTCTAATGGCCAGTATGGTGGGGATGGGGGTATAGGGTTTGGGTTTTTTTGGTGGTGGTGGTTTGGTTTTTGGTTGGGTTTTTTGGGGGGTGGTTGTTTTTGGGGTTTTTTTTTTTGTGGTGGTGCTGTTTTTTCCCCTCCTCTCTCGTGACAATATCTGCCCAAACACGTTTAACCCGTTTGGTTAAGTTCACAAAGATCGCCAGATGGGGAGAGGACTTGGTCGATCAGTAAGGAATGATCTGATTCAGACAGTTGTTTATGAGTAGATATAAAGTACTTCGAATGAGCTTACTTCAAAAGGGAACCCTGAATTATCTTTGGAAGTGCAACCATTTGTTATCCTTTATTTTACCTTGAAAGTAAAAACCACAGTGTTCACGTTACAATGTGTAACAACTCTTACACACTCCGTCTTGGTTCCTTTTCAATTACAATTACTAATGCAATTGTACCAAAATTTGTTTACTGTAGCATTAGAAGCTGCTGTTTACTTGGGAGAGCTTTTAATAAAGCACACTATACATCTACCTCTATAGTTAATAATAAACCATAGATTATTTCTAATTAGAATCAGTAACATTTAAGATTTGAAATATTAAAAAAACAGATAAAACTTTCACTACTAGAAGTTTATTACAGCAAAATACACATCTATGTAGGCATATTGAAAGTAGGTCCATCTACAGAGATAGCATATTATCTGCTGAACTCAAAACCTATAATTGCCATAATGTTTAGATGAAAAAGGTTAGGCATAGTCATTTAACAAATATCATTTCTTCCCTGTAAATATGGTTCTCTGTCAGTTCTAAACCAATTCCAGGAAAAAAAAAAAAAGAGTCTAAAAAGAGAGAATGACTCATTTTCAACAGTCTGTTTTCTAATTGCATATATAGTTAATAATAAACTACGTAGCAATAACGAATCTCTTAAAGCTGTATTGCTGCTGTTCTTACTCCACTTCCTACAAGTTTTCTATTAAGCAACAGTTATCTGTATCATATCTCCCTACTGTTAGAACTTCATTTCAAGAAAATTCTGTGGCTTTCATGAAGGAAGACTATTTCCACATGAACTTTTCTGTAAATCAACAGTAGCTTCAGGATTTAGTTTCAAGGAGCAGAAGAAAAAGCTGACTTTGTACACAGTGAATCAGAACTGCAAAATGTTCAGAATCCTTGAATAGTTCAGACACTTAGTGCAAAATTGTTTTTACAATTCCTTCAGAAAAGGATTTTACATAGTGAAGTGAAAGCTTGACCTCCCCCCCCCCCCCCCAATTTTTAAGGCATTAAGCATGCTTTTCTTCCTAAATAAACATGTCACATTAATGAACACACTAGGGTATTTTGAAAGGCTTGATGATCTTCAACGATGTTTCGAAGCTGGACCTAGACACTTTCTTTGCACACTGGAGAGCAGCACATCATTTTCAGATGACTGAGGTTCACAACAAGTAGTCTAACTATTGATTGCATTTATGAGTTTCAAACTACTAGCTACAACTCTGCCCCTAAGTTAAATACAAGTCAGCATTTCACCTTTTTTGTTGTTGTTCTCCAAGAAAGAAGCATTTCACGTTGCTAAAGAGGGAGCTTCCCCTCACGAGAGCTCATGTGGGTAGTGATTAGTGGCTGTTCCATTACCCCACGCTTACTTCTGGCGGCATTTAGAGTTACCGTCAGGACCAGTTCGCGATCAGTTCAGGACCGCATGGCTTCCGCGCTTGCGGTCTGACAGACCTCGCACTAAGCTCTCTGCACACCAGCTCCACCACACTCACTCACGCTTTACTCCAGCCGGCCGCTTCCCTTCTTGGACGTCTACAGGAAGTATCATCCCTGCCTAATCAAATTTGGGCCATCTCTCTCCGTCGGTTTCTAGTACCACCTGAGCTGAGAGAGATTCCCCGCAATTTGGGGAAAAAAAAAAAAAAAGCGTCAGCTGCGAGCAAGTGGTTTAACGTAACAAGTTTTTATCTCGGGTAAGAGAGTTTTTTCTCAAGTTCCAGCCAGACGTAAGCCCCCCCCCGGCTTCCCTTCCCCCGTCCCCTCTCGCAGGAGGCCCGTCCCGGCGCGGTGGCACGCCCCGGGACCGGCCTCACCGCGGCCCGGGCGGCGGC